TTTTTTTTTTTTTTTTAAGAAGAGGCTGAACTATACCTTGTTTAAAGCATGATGGGACGCAGCCTGTAGCAAGGGACGTATTAATTAATCTCAGGATAAAAGGCCCAACAGTATTAAAAGTGCTTTTAAGCAAGCTTGGAGGGAGACAATCGGAGGGGCAGTGTGATGATCTTAGGTTACTAACTACCGCAATCAAGTCATTAAGGGAGACGGGATCAAACTGCTCTAAGAGCACATAGGAGAAAGACTCGGATCTGAAGCAGCGGACGACGAGACAAGAGCCCTAATCGATAGAATCTTGTCATTAAAAAAAAGCTAAAAAAATCATTGCAAATACTTGGTGGAGGAATGGCTCCGGCATTATCACGTGAACCAAGAAAGCGATTAAGGACATTAAAAAGTACCTGAGGCCTATGACTGTTTACTGACACTAAGTTTGAGACAAACTGTGTCTTTGCAGTTTTTACAGCTTCTTGGTGAGCAGAAAGACGAGTCCTTAAAATCTGTAGGGAAACGTGCAATCTGTCCTTTTTCCATCTCAGTTCGGCGGCGCGTCTGCAGTCGCGTCTGAGGGAGCGCGTATGTTCGTTCAACCATGGCTCTGATAAATGCTTAGCGCGCAGTCCTGAGCGGAGCAATAGAGTCCAAGATATCAGTGCAGGAGGAATGAAGAATGTCCGAAAGGTCCTCAACACTTTTACAGTTGGAGTTCATTATTCCAGAATCCATAAAGGCAGCAGAAAAAGCGGCGCTGTTAGAGCATTAAGCGCTCGCTTTTTGCGCGCTGGGGCATACGGCTTATCTACCGAGCAGCGCGTTAAAGTAAGTTTTTCTCCACAGTCACAGATGCAATTTAAAACAATACAGACATACAAATAAGACTCAGCAAAACTATCACCTTCTCTGGGATCAAACTCAACCGGCGGGTGGTCTGACCAATCAAAAATCACCCTCAAAAAATGAGGCTCATATTTGCTGTGTGTCTCCAACACAGGAGAAGATGGAGTGATCAGCGTGATAAAACAAACAAACAAACAAACAAACAAAAAATCTATATTCTGAGAATTTAAAACAAACAAACAAATAAACAAGATGATGAGGAGAAAAAAGACAAAATGCATAAAAAAAAAGTCAGAATTCTGAGAGTAGAGAAAGAACTTTGACTTTTTCCCCTTCAAGTCTTTGGAAAATAAAAAAGTCAGGGTGATTCTTTTCTTTCCCCTAGTGGGCAAAATCCTCTCTTATAATAGTACAATGTTGGCTTAACATCACTTAAAAAACAACAACTAAAAAAAAAACAACAACACACAACTACATGATCTAAACATGGAAAATGAACTGGTACTGGTTTTCTATTCTAATTGCACACTGAAGGCACTTTCTACTACAAGCCTCATTATGCCTTTACTTTATGTCTTTCTTCTTACTTACTCGGAATAATCACTGGTTTGGCTTTTCGATCAGTTGTCTTGTCTGTATGTCGTTGATATACAGACTTTGAGGGACCATCGGTCGACTCATTCAAGCTTCTGATTGGTAAACTAACTGCTGTAACTCCTGCTTCTGTTTTCTTTGTAATATTTTCAGTTAAACATATCATGTAAATTATTTGCAAACGATTGAATTCTGTTTTAATCTGCATTTTACACAGAATCCCAAAATAATTTGGAAACAACAGTTAATTGAACTATTCAAATTAATAAACCTAAGGAGGAGGAAGAAGAAAAAAGATAAATTGCTTTAAAATTTACACTAAAATAGGAACTATGGAAACCACTTTCCTGTCTTGTCAGGGTATGGAGCAGTATACTGAGTGCTTAATGCCCAAGAAAAAGTCCCCTCTCTAAAAATTCTGTTGTTCTAGACATGTGAGCTGTATATGTAAAAGCTTGTGAGACTAGGATACCCTTGGACGTTTACACCGACTTAAAGCAAGGCCGATGTTCTCATAAGCAGTTCAGGAAAGATGGTAAATGGACTGATTCTTATATAGCGCTTTTCTACTCTCCCGGAGTACTCAAAGCGCTCTATACAATATGCCTCATTCACCCAGTCACACCCACTCATACAAGCACTTCTAAACTCAAGTGCAACCTAAACTACATTCACACACATTCATACTCCGATGGATGCATCAGGGGCAACAAGGTTAGTATCTTGCCCAAGGATATTTGGCATGCAGACTGGGGAAGCCAAGGATCGAACCACCAACCTTCCGATCAGTAGCTGATCTGCTCGACCACCTGAGCCACAGCCACCCTTTCTTTCACATAAAGAAATGTTTTCTGAAATAATCAACTTAGCACAAAACCATCTTTTCAGTGAAGTACATGCAAACCTGTAAATGCAAACTTTGTTGATCATGAAAAATGTTCAGCACTGATATAAATGATCTGTTTTGCGTTTCCACCCAGAGTTTGTTCCTGATAGATGCTAAAGACCTTATTTTGACATCTGGACTTCACGTTCCTGTCTTAGATTTGCAGACTAGAGGTAATTCTAATATCTGACATTTGAATTTGAAACTCCAGCTAGTTTAGTGTAAAGTCAGGCGAAAACAAGTAACCAGGCTCAGTCTGAAACAGGCCTCCAGGAAAGCCGCTGGGCTTTGTGACCAAACATCATGTAACCTTCACACCATTTGCTCTGGTACAAAGAAAAGCCTCTGTAGTTCAACAGAAGTTGTGTTTCTATCTGTTTCTTGGCCTGCAGCAGTGTCTTCTTTTGAAGTTTCTGCTGCCTGGCACCTTCATGACGAGGACAAGCCTAAATAGTCCTGTTCAAGGAATTTCTTGGAATGTATAACAGCCTTAAAAATCTTTGTTATGGTAGCACTAAAGCAGTGAGACATATACTGTTTTGTGAGCCTTTGCTATGTTTACAGGTGAATTTAGTTACCTTTGGACAAAATCAGCTGCGCCCCCTTCTCCAGTCTTGCAGTGCTAAACTAAGCTAACCAGCTGTTGGCTGATTGGTAACTGTCAAAAATGATTGGAAGGTTTCCAAGCCTTCTCCTTCTTCTTTTGGGTCTGCTTGCACTTAGCAAAGAAGTTTAAAGATTCATTATCGCCACCTACTGGACGGGAGTGTGGATCGGACACTTGGCAGAGGGAGAAAACAAAATCAAAACCTCTCCTGTTCTTCTTACCAACTTTGGCAAAGTAGTGACACATCAGAATAACATATACTTATGTGCAGTTGTTTGAACTAATTATTTTGGAGTCTTCTGAATTTTTTGTTTTGTTTGTTTGTTGTTTCCTCCACATCCTGGATCTCAATTGTTTTTTAAAATTATGGGACTGCTTAAAAGCTATGGAACGCGTTCCATAAAAAGCAGGGTCCATACCGCAAACCCCAACAGTTTAAATTAATTCTGCCAATTCTGTCCAGAGAAACTGTCAAACATCCATACACTTAGCATTCTGTGGCTTAGAGAAAATCAAAAATAAATGTGAACTTCTTCACCCAATTCTTGTTTTTAAAGTCATTAAAGAAACATGTTATACAATCGTTCAAACCTGGAAAAAGAACAATTCAAAGAAAAAATTAAAAGCCACAATAACACACAGTCTGACTCCAAATCCTTGACATTGCAAGACAACTGTTTTTGTATTTTCCTTGTCCACATGCAAACACAGATATGGAGTTTGTTAAAATGTATACACTATAAGGAATTTTTCCAAAAACTTTGTTTTCAGCGACCTAAACTGTCGTATACGTGTGCACGAAGAGCAGAAACAGTTAAAGCTTAAAAAGCACCCGTGTACGTGGACAGGGCCTTGTAGTCCACTTTATATTAACCACCTATGTTAGCAATGTACTGGTGAGAAGAGATCTAAAAGATAAGCAGTCTTTTTTTGGCAGTTTTTTGACATCTATGTGATGTAACTGTATCACATCTGACGTATCTCTTTGAATATTTTTATATAATCTTCATATAATATTATCACATAGTATCTTATCATAAGTGTTTTCTGCTATAAAATACCTCATAATCACATGCAGTTTAAAAGAACTAGCAAAGCATTGTGTGGAAGTATTCCAGTTTGCATGTATAAATCCTAACAGCTGTTACCTCAAGGCAATTTAAACTTTAAGTTAAGCAACATACAATATTACAACACTACAGAATTCTTTGTGTACCCAAAATTATCTAATTCTATAAGTGACCGTTCAGTTTCTACAGGCCAGTTGTCAAGGCCCTTGCATGTTTTTTTGAAGAATCAAAAACAACAATTGGTTGATGCTCATTGCTTTATTTAACATGACTTAAACCTAACTGTTGGGTGGCCCAGATGCCTGGCACCTTGTTCTCGGCTCATGCCAGGATAGCCAGCCTATGAAGGAGTACGTGTCGCTTGCTTCTGGTTCTCTGGGGCTCTTATCCTTCATCTTGGTGTCTCTCTTTCTTGGGTGGGCACATATTTGTTATCAGAAATGTGTGACCTCAGCTTGTAGACAATCTAGAGGTTGTCTTGGATAAATTAATGATTGGCACAACAGTGCGTTCATATCATAATTTGCAAAAGATGTCAGGCAGGACAGGCTGAAATCAGGGAGGGCCAGCCATCTGCCGTGACCGTTAGAGCGGGTGAGGGGAAAGTGAAAAAACAAAACAAAACACAACAGCACAACAAAACAAACCCCATAGTGATATTTGTTGGAGTAATCTGGTAATTCATTTTTAATTAAAATACTAATAGTAAAACAGTAAGACAGTGTAATCAGTGCAGTATTCAGGTATACAGCCAGATGATGGACACTGCAGTCGATGTTGTGTGGTCTTTTTGTTTACCAGCAGGAAACCTGATGACAAACCACAAGGTTTTGGTCCTATGTGCTCTTCTTTTCAGTGCAGGTGTCTCTAGGGAACTCTTAGAGAGGCTGGGGAAGAAGGGAAGCTGGAGAACTGGCTGGGTGTGATGCACTGGTTTGCATTCAAGCTCAGCATCCTTTAAATTAGACTCACCAACAAATGCTGATCACTGTGGCTTCCTGTTCTCACCTTCATTAACTGTTCGAGTTCATCAAGATCCTTAAGCTTTAAGCATTTGGTTTTATGTGGTTGGAATCCTCATCTCATATTCAAATTGCTCTTATGATTTAAATCTCGAGTGCTCTTCATTTAGTTTTCTTGTAAAGAAACAGTATTCAGTATTAGTACCACAGTCAGTCAAGATGAACTTGAAGAGACAATAATCCATATTTCCAGGGTAGAGCTGATAGAGCCAGCTCCACAGCTACCAGGGCCCAGAGACCACGTATCAATGGGTTCATTAAATGAAATGTGGAGCATAACCTCTGGTGCCATGCTGACACCAGGAATCACTGAAGAGATGGGACATGCCAGACTAATGTCAGTAACTTTGAATTTATGGAGGCAGTAACGGCAGTCCATGTCTTTGAGATCAACATGCAGTATTCCTGTGGAACTCAGATGTGACAGAGCATTTACTAGCTGCTATAAAATCAGCCTCATCTCTGTTATGGGGAGACCTTGGTTGCAGTCTTGTATGTAGTCACAAAGGCTTTGATCAAGTAGTTCAAAATTTAAGCATGGTCCCTGTCAAGGAAACAGCCATACCAGTTCACAATGCTGAAGGTGTCTGGATCCAAGCTGTTTCAAAATTTCAGGGTGGATCTTGCCGACTTTGTTGGTTCCTGTGTGGTGACATTTTGGTACAAAGCTGTAGCCACCCTGTGTGACGAAAGCCTCTAGTGAAGGATGAGGAGGTGCTGTGTATCACTGCAGGTGTCTCTGGAGAAGCTCTTCGAGAGACAGGTGTGAAAGAAGTGGTGACAGAGAACATCCGAGGCTGTCAAGCACTGACTAAGTGCAGTGTTTAATCAGACTCTCCAACAGATGCTGATCGGTGTCCTGTTCTCACGTTGGATATTTTGAGCCCGTTCAGGAGCCAGTATCAAATATGGAACCATCACAGCCTTTAGTCAAAAGCAAATCCACCTTTCCCACCAAACCACACATTTATACAATTTCTTCACACAAAAAAACATTTTTAACTTTAATAAACATGCCGACCAGTGGATATATCAACTTCTATGTTATAACTTTTGTCACAAACCTGTACAATCAAGAGACAGACGGCAGTCGACTTCAGTTCATTGCAGAGTGAAGCTACTGTCTGTTTAGGGAGGGTCTGTGCCACACTGCCCCCTGCTGGCAGCAAAAATGATGACAAAGCCATCAATTTACAGGAGTTATAATAATCTCCCGCTGTGTTATCCATACGTTTCAACATACCAACATTCCCTGGGGCAGTCCTACAGTTTGTGATGTGATTTCCCTACATTGCTACAGCGACAAACTTCCTCAGCTATGAAATCTTCTGTTGTCCTGTATCTCTAAAAGCCAAACCCTCCTTCTGTAAACAATTTCATCAGTATCATATTAAAGTGAGTGACTAAACAAAGGTACAGCAGCTCTGTGTCCCCTTTAACCAGCACAGTATCAGTACCATGAAAATGAATTAAACTGAACGATCTTTACACTTTTAATTTTTACCCTCGTGCTACTATGTGTTCAAGACTGATCATGTTTACTTTACTCTGATAATTCACACTTTAATCTTGAGTTTACAGCCTCTATTCTGTTTCTTACACACTGAACAAAAATATAAACGCAACACTTTTGTTTTTGCTCCCATTCCCCATGGGATGGACGTAG